AAAAAAAAAAAAAAAAAAAAAAAAAAAAAAAAAAATCTGATGCTTAAGAACCTTCCAACTATAGTTCTGTCTCCAGCCTCCCATTTCTCTAGGCAAAAGAGAGAAAAGGGCAACAATTAACTAACAAAAAATGACATGTGCAACATCCTCGATTCTCCACAACTGAGCTTCAGACAGGGGCACACCATGGAGACAACCACAGTAGCAACTAACACATGACACTTCTTATGGCAATGGGTAGAGGCCACATCTCATTGCTCAAATTATTTGACCTTTTTTCAGATATGAACCAAAAGGTGCTATTGGACTACCTCAGGGGTCGGCAACGTTTGGCACGCGGCTCGCCAGTTTATTTACCTGCTGACGCGGCAGGTTCGGCCGATCGCGGCCCCAACTGGCCGCGGTTCGCCGTCCCGGGCCAATGGGGGCGGCAGGAAGCCGCGGCCAGCACATCCCTCGCCCGCGCCGCTTCCCGCCGCCCCCATTGGCCCGGGACGGCGAGCCGCGGCCAGTGGGGGCCGCGATCGGCCGAACCTGCTGCGTCAGCAGGTAAATAAACTGGCCCGGCCCGCTAGGGTGCTTACCCTGGCAAGCCGCGTGCCAAACGTTGGCGACCCCTGGACTACCTACATAACACAGCTGAAGTAGATGGTGTAGTACTACTGCTCCAATCATTCATTTCCAAGAGGATTCAGAGAGCGGTGATGGGAAATTGCTCTTCTCCAAGACAAAAAAGTTATTTCATCTCCCCTTTTTTCCCCATAAGACCATCTGAAGATGTGGCAAGATACAACAGGCTCCAATGCCAACATGTCAATGACACTTTCCTGTATATAGCATTTTTGAAAGATAAAAGCTGAGCAAGAATGTCAATGCCAACAAGACAGGAGTTACTGAATTAATAGCTAGCTCAGACTGAACGTAGACAAGACTGAGGCAGTGCTGGTAAGAAAAATGCTTTGAAGAACTAGCTGGTACATTGTCCTTGGCGTCATATTCAAATAGCATAATGCTTTGTGAATCTATTTAAAACATCCCTAAGCTAAGGCATCAGATAGTATCAGTGGTATTAAAAAAATATATATATATATATATCCTCCTTCCACTGCAGTTTGCTAGTAAACTTTACTATTTACTCCCAGATGAGGCTCTGGCCACAGTGATCCATGCATTAGTCACCTCCAGATTCAATTATCACAATTCACTCTATTCTAGGATAGAACATGAACACAATGCAGATACTCCATCTTGGGCTGCCTCTCTGCAGAGTGGGACAGACTTCCATCAACACTTCACTTCTGTGTTCCCTCCATTGCTTACTAGTCCATTTTCATTACATGTTCAAAGATTTGTTATCAGACATCAGAATAGCCCAAAGAACTACCACTTTGAGGACACATTGCACTAACCGGCATGATGGTGATAAAAATTTTTTTTTCCAAGCATAGCTTTCCTTCACCAGGGAGGAGAGAAAGGAAGACAACTCCATGAAGGGCAAGAGGAATTTTACATTAGAAGTTATTAGGTGGCATTCAGTTTCTATAACTTTATTGATGTATTCAACCATGCATTTCCTTTTTCAATTTACTCCTCTTCAGTTTAAGATACTTTTTTCTTTTGCACAGTATTAGTCCTTGCTTCTCAGAGGCTCAGATGATTATTTACGTAATAAGTGAGTAAGATTAAGGTTGCCACATTATGAATTCTTGACTGATCGAGTTCAGAAATGATGACAGATCTTAACATTTTAGATTGTTATGTTAGTTGATTTTACCAGAATGGGAAGAGATTTATTCCTTCCAGCAAGACATTTGGGGTAAGATTTTCAAAAGCAGTCAGCATTGGGTTAACCACATCCACTGATGTCAATGGTAAAACTCTCATTGACTTCAGTGGGAGAAAAGATAGGCCATGAATGAGCACTTTTGAAAATCCTATCCTTAGGTCATCTAATTTCTCAGTGGAGTTTAAATAAAGTATCATTGTAATATGTTTACTTCACGTGGAATTTTATTGTAAACATTTTGTTTGTATTAGATTTCAGTTAGGTTTGTCTAAATATATGTAGACCCTTTCCCCCTTTTCAATCCTTGTGTCACCTAATTTAAAAACAATACATTACAACAATTAAACAGTATGCTTGCACCTATAGGTTTGTCTCATTAATTAATGAGAAGGGAAAGGCAATTCCAATTGTTTAAAGATGAATTTTTTAAAAGTGAGGTAGTAGCAGATTCTGTAATAGTATAGCAAAAAAAACCAAAAAAACCTCCAACTACTTACAGTTTCCAACTGATCCATTAGTTTGGATAAAAATTTGCGGCACTCTGGGGTTTTACTGTCAAGTTTCATCCCAGTCTGCATAGCATACAAACGGCCTTAAAAGGAGAGAAAATATTAAAAGGTCACTAATGAAGTAAATAAGTAAGTAAGTAAGTAAGAGAGAGAGTGTGTGTGTGCGCGCCCCCCAAAACCAGATATTCTTAGAAACAATTTCATTTTCACATTGTAAAATCACAACTCTAACCCTATTGAGTGTTCAAGTACATTCATTATTGCAGACTTCAGGCAAACTGGATTCTGCAAAGATTTATGCATGTGCTTCACTTTTTGCACTTAGTAATCAATTGATTTCAATCAGTAAGTTTTTGCAGATTGAGGCCTAAAATATAACTATAACGAAGCATTTGTAAATAAACACCATCTTATTTCACTTCCCTTAGGTATAAGAGTTTATCTGAATTAGAGTGATAATTAGAAGTTATAGATCCATTTCCCTCATTAAGAGGCTCCCTTTTTCAAAGAATAGCGTATGTCAGGAGCTGATCACAATTAACTAATAGGTTTAGAGTTTAAATTTCTCTTCTAATAGTTATTTTTTTACATATCTTGATTTAATAGGATTAAATTTGAAGTTTGACAGGTGTAACCAACCTGTCCAATTTTAATATTTTTGGAATTTAAACAAGAATTTTCATTTTGTATTCTCAAAATGCAGATTCTCTATCCAGAGAAGTATTTTGAAGGTACTGACTACAGGCAAGTGAAGCACAGGGAGAGCTTAAGACATGGAAAAGAACTAAGAGTCATAACAAGAAACTTCAAATCCCAAATCTGCCATTCTTTCTCAGACCTCCCATCTGTCCAAAAACTTCTCTATTCTGATGTTTTATACTCACCAAGTCTCCTGCACGTCAAACTTTTTCTCCAGGGCTAACTATCTATTCTCCTTCCCCGATACCCTCTCCACTCCTTCCCTTTCTTGTCTTGTGTCTTTTCAGTTTGTCTAATCTGTTTTCAACTACAAGCTCTAATCATGCCGTATTATGTTTTAAGCATAGTGTAAATTTATGGTGCTATATAAATGGTTAATAACTCTAATATAGAAAAGTGGGAAATCTTTTTGCCATACTGCTACATGATTACAATCTCAAGTTCATCACCATTTTCACATTACTCTACACATGATCAGTTTAACAATTTGACAAACTAACTTCTCAAAATATTACTTGGCTCCTTGCTAAAATGTCTTTGTGTCATGTCGTAGGACGTATTTAATTACATTCACAATTTCTACTGATGCATAAGGTGCTGGGGATCTTGACCCTGGTCCCAGTGGCATCCTTTTAGAATTCTTCTCCACGCTGGAACTGGCGGTATGGGTGTCTGGTTACTTTGGCACTTGCTGCAGATAGTCACCTCAACTCCAGCTTGGAAGATGTCTCTTTCATGGATTTCTCCAAGAGATGTAATTTGAGCCTTGTGTTTCCTGATTTTTTTTTTTGGGTGCAGGAGGGAAAGAGTGCCAGCTTAAGCACTTGTCAGGGATATGTCCTTCCCTGAGGCAGAAAAGACATCTGCTGTGCATGATAAGCAGGGTTTAAACCTGGTGGGTTAAGCGACCATTATGCTGGTAGTTGGGACCAGAGCCTCATCCCAGCAGGGGATTTCCTCTTGTCTTTTGTTTTTTGGACCACCAAAAAAAAGTAATAAATTAAACAATGAGAGTGAACAGTCATTCCTTCAGAGTAACGTTGGGTTTGAAGCTTGAGATACAGAGTGGACTGGACACGATTCAGGTTCCATCTTGAAGTCAGGAACGGTAAAAGGGAACTGAGGGAGGGTCACAGGTCCTCGACATTTTCTGCCCTCATACTGGAGCACAAGGAAGCAAAGGGCACATGGGCTGCCCTGATGGATGTTGTCATTTGAAAGATTCCAAACCTGCATGAATGAGGCACATGCGCATGTACACTGGGATCCACTCCCATATTCAAAGAGGAATTTAAAGGCTATCAGAAAAGAACCTAGACCCCTGTGGTCAGTGCAAATAGAATATTTCATTGTTAGCTTATTAAATTAATTTTATAAGCGCTCAGCCTCATGAACAGAGGTACTAAAAGTGTCAGTTCTGCATTAGTGCTTGTGGATGCTTATAAACACAGATCACTTTAGGAACAATGGATCCCTTGCCTTACTGTAAAAAAATCAAAGTAAAATGGGGTTCTCTCAGCCTGCATATTTTCTGACAAAGTCCCAATCATGTGGTTTATGAAAGAGATTCTAAGAAGTTACCCCTGAAATTACTGTACCTTCTGCAAAATAAGGTTTGAAATTATGCTCTATACCGGGGTGGCCAAACTTACTGACTCTCTGAGCCTCATACGATAATCTTCAGAAGTTTGAGAGCCGGGCGTGTCTGCTGGGGCACGAGGCTTCCACCCTGCAGGAGACACCTGACAAGGTGAAGCCCCAAGCCCCAGCAGGCATGCCGTTGGGGCTGAAGCCCCACCGCCCTGACGCAGGGCAGAAGCCCCGAGCTCCCCGCCCACAGTCTGGTAGGTGGAGAATGGGGGGAGGGACATGGAGTGCTCCACGAGCTGCACTTTAACTGTAAAAGAGCCACATGCGGCTCGTGAGCCACGGTAGTTGATACAGAATCCATATTTTCCCCATTTTATTTTATTTTTCCACTTGGTTTATCTTATTTATCTATTTCACAGTAACAGGATAAAAACTCACAGGTTCTTTTCTCTGTATTTTTTTTTAACATGGAACGCAAACCAATAATTCTATGTTATGTTGCGGGGGGCGGGGGGCGATTTGGAGACTTTTTTACAAAGATATGCCCATACAATGGTTGAAACTAAAATGTAAATGGATCACTAGAGGTATGTGGAGTCATCTAACCATGATATTTCATTGCAAGAATAGAACATACTCAATTTATTATTATTAAATAAATATCACCATAAAATACATTTTTTAGTATTAACTGTACAGTAAATTGGAAAACTGCCTCAACAACTCCAGTGAATTAATGTTGAAGTTACCAATCTGTCCCTCCTTCACATCATAATACATTAAAGCCAATAAAATTGCCTGGAGGGGCAGGGTGGGTGGGTGTAACAAGGTGATTTTGCAACTGGCAGAGGGACTTGAGAGTGGTTGTGGTAGGGAACCCGCAACTCCCATTCTGAATGCAGATAAATCAGAGGGCATATTGAACTTGCTGTGTGAGTAAAAAAGGGCTCCAAGCTTCCTTCAATGATTCTGAAGTAGAACAGAATCACTCTGGCTATCAGTGATTAGGTTTGAACAGCGAGTCTCAAAATTTGGTAAGTCTTTCCAAAGTTTAGGAAATGTACCTCACATGGGCCAAATACCACATTACTTCAAAACCAAATTTCTTCAAACCAGACAAAGTATGCACTCCTTATTCAGGATCATGCACTGGCCAAGTTTTAAAATGTTAAAATAAATCTGAGTTATTTAACCACAAAAAAGACAAACATTTTTTAGCAGATGAAAAATAAAATACTTTTGCCTTCTGACTCCTCCCTGTACACATTTGGATAATTTAAAAAATAGCCTAACAGCTGTATAATCAACAATGCAATAAACAAAAAACAAAAACAAAGTTCTAATTTTGAGACTAAATAGGAACTTCAGTCCAAAAGATATGTTTTGGGTAAAAGCTCTGAGCAACTGAAAATAAGAGTTTGGCAACTGAAAGAAACTCAGTAAGTTTAAAAGCAGATGGAATTTATCATATATACCCGCTTATCCTTATTCCCCCCCCCCCCCAAAAAAACCCCACCTACATTAAGATATAGTTAAGTTTAAGAGTATGTACCAGTAATTTTTTTTTACCCTCCAAGATGCTGCAATTATCCTAAAACCAAGCATTACAAATCCACAAAATTTAGAATTAAGGATCCACTTAAAAGAAACCCAAACATATTAAAATAAGTACATGTAAAGCACCCAAACAACTTTAACTCTGCCCTGCAGTAAGGGCTCACCATATGATTATGGCATTTTAGTGTTTGTGGTCCCAGATATAATTAAATACATTTTTAAAACACACTAGATTCCCCCCCCACACTTTTTGCCCCCCGATGGCTGTGTTATAGGAACACAGAAATTGCCATACTGGATCAGATCCACAAACCATCTAGTCCAATGATTTCTGATGATGGCCAGCATCAGAGGCTTCAGAGGAGCTTGCAAGAACCACTGCATTAGGCAGATACAGAATAACCTACCTCCCACATTAGGTCTCATCCTAATTTTTAATAGTTAGAGTTTGGCATAAAACCTGGTAGCATGAGGTTTAATATCTCCTCTAAAATTTGTTGTATTAATTAAAAAAACTCTGGATATTCTTGTTATGCATATAAATATCTAAGCTCTTTTTGAATTCTATTAAATTTTTGGACTCAACAACATCAGTGATGATCCAATTCAGATTTATGCAAAAAATATTTCTTGGTTTTCACTTTTGAATTTGTTGCTTTTCAATTTGACAGTCCCCTTTCTCCTAAGACAGGGAGAAAACAGAAATGTCCCATCTACATCCTCTATTCCACTAATTGTTTTATATACTTTTTTGAAGTCTCCTTTCTAAGGTAAACAAACCTAATCTTTTCAATCTCTCTTCATAGGAAAGTGTTTCCATGCCTCTAATCATTTTTGTGACCCTTCTCTAGCCCTCCTCCCCCGCCCCCCTAGAAACACTCTGAAATATCATTTTAAAGAAGAGATGACCAAAGTATTACAGTTGGGAGTAAGCCATAAGCATTATATTTTTCTCCATCCGGTTGCTTATGCAAACTAAGGTCCCAATCCCACAACGATATACACCTCTACCTCGATATAACACGAATTCGGATATAACACTGTAGAGCAGTGCTCGGGGTGGGGGGGGGAAAGGGGGGACTGTGCACTCCTGTGGATGAAAGCAAGTTCAATATAATGCAGTTTCACCTATAACGCGGTAAGATTTTTTGGTTCCTGAGGACAGCGTTATATTGAGGTAGAGGTGTACTTAATTTTACTACAGTCCAAAAGTGAGGTTGAGCATGCGGGTAGGTGT